TCAACCTATCCAACAACAGTGTTCTATATTGTGCGCCAAATCGCTAGCTTCAGCCACGGCGCTTTATTATTATTATTATTATTTCTTTTTTGGTGCCTAGGCTCGCTTTTTTCGCGCCTAGGCATGCTTTTTCTTGCCTAAGCGTGCTTTTCTTTTTTTTCTTTTACTTTTTTTTTTAATATAGTATTATATAATTTTAGATGTTAGGTAAATATTATTTTAGCCATTAAATAATTTTTAGATTGAATAAAAATTAAAAATGATATTAAAATCAAAAAACACTTTTTTACGCCGCCTAGATCAGTAAGCTTGGCCTCAATGCTTAGCCAAGCTTTTTGAAACACTGTTTAGCAAGCATAAAACTAACGCACAACAGTCCCTCAAAGTGGAAAAGGGGGATTTTCAAAGAGACCATTAATTTTACCTGACATCAACACCAGTGAGCTTTGGACCCAAGAAATCATTGACATTTTTAACAGCATTGAGAACCCCTTTACCCCCATAAACACTCTTGTCCCCATCTCTGAGCTCGAGGGCCTCATAGATCCCAGTGGAGGCGCCACTTGGGACAGCAGATCGATACAGCGAATCTTCACCCGTAACAAGATCGACCTCGATCGTCGGATTGCCTCTGCTATCTATGATCTGCCGCGCCTTCACTGTCTTGATCTTTTCCGAGGCCACCTTTGCTGCAGTAGCAGCAGGTGCAACGGAAATGGAACTACGGATTGTAAACGGCCGAGATTTGATTTTCTGGCTTGTGAGTAGTGAAAAAATCGATGCTTGTGAGGTGGGTTTGGTGGAGAAAATTGGTTTTGATAGCTGGGAAGGAGTTAACGCCATTGTATATTATATGTGTATGTGATTGGTATAGAGAGAGAATGTGAGTGATATATAAGAAAGGTTTATGGGAAAATCCGTCAAAGGGGCGAAGAAGGCAGAGTATGGAGTGTGTTTGTTGGTGTTGAAAGTGGCTTTTGGGGGTTGTTGAAGGTACAGTCCAGCTGAGGGGGTGTTAAGACTTAGGTGAGAGAGACAAGACAGGACAGGGTTGCGGGGACGGCCGAGGTGGGGGGTGTTGAAGCGGAGTAGGTGTCCTTGTTTTTCAATTTATTTTTAAGTGAAG